AAGTAAACGCATGCATGCATGAATGAATGAATGAATGAATGAATGAATGAATGAATGAATGAATGAATGAATGAATGAATGAACTGCTTTTGTATAGCGCAAATTCCCGCTCGACAGAGGCCTACCCATTTCCCAGCTGGAAGAAATGACGAAAACTGGCGTAAAATAACTTTCTCAAGGCAACAACGACAAGCCAGTGACGCGATTCGAACCCACGATCGTACGGTAGCGAGTCCGATAGCCGAACTACTAGACCATAGACACAACTATTGTCACCTCTAATCTTCAGCACCTGCATAACCTACTAAATTTGTGTTGCAAGTGCCGTAAAACTCTTACTAAAACTAAGCTCTAAAATATATATATTACCTCCTGTCTTCAGTATTCGTGTATTCTTCACATAGAAATTCTCTAGTCATGTACTCCCTCATCTTATAATTTCTGTACCCATGGATTCTCTTGCAGGACAACCATACCGTCGGTAGCATAGTAGTTAGGCCCCGAACCCGTAACTGTGAGACTGCGGGTTCGGGGTTCGAGTGTCAGCTTGGTCCAATGTTGCGTCCTTGGGATAGACAGACGCTTTACACAAATTTCCCATATATGAATCGGTCTTTTCGGAGATGGACGTTGAACTCGAAGGTCCCGCCTCGTAAAGAACCTAACAGTGTTGATGAGGGCGTTAAACCTATACCATTTCACCATGTCATATAAAATTTCTCTACCCATGTATCCCCTCACATAACAATTTGTATACCCGGTACCCATGTATTCCCTCACAAAAACAACCATAGCGTCGGTAGCCAAGTAGTTAGGCCCCGAAAATGTCATCGTGAGACTGCAGGTTCAGGGGTTTGAGCCTCAGCTTGGTCCGAAGTTGCGTCCTCCGGATAGACACTAACTTGACAAAAATTTCTTATTTGGCTCCGTCCTTTCGGAGATGGACGTTAAACTCGGAGGTACCGCCTCTTAAATGACCTAATAGTGTTGATAGGAGCGTTAAACCTATACCATTTCACCACTTCACAGAACAACCAGTATCTGAACGCCCTCGAGTCTCTGGGCTCGGTGATCGCCAGGTACGACCCTGAGCAGAAAGTGGCAGCGTTTGGGTTCGGAGCCAAGCGGTCAGTAGACTCCCCCACCGATCATTGCCTGCAACTCATTCCCAACACCTGGGCCAAAGGGATAAAGGTAACGTTTACTAAAAGTGATGTTTACTAAAGGTGATGTTTACTTAAAGTAATGTTTTCTGAAGGTAATACTTGCCAACGGTAATGCTTGCAAAAGGTAATGTTTACGAAAGGATATGTACTAAAAGTAATGTTTACAAACGGTAATGATTATTTAAGGGGATAACTAATAGTATGTTTACTAAAGGTAATGTTTACAGAAAGTGATGTTTGCCGACGACAGTGTTTGTAAGGTAAGTTAATTTAAGGTAATGCTTGTGAAAGGCAATGCTTGCGAAAGGCAATGTTTACTAAAGGTAAAGTTTACAAAATTTTACTTTTCCCAATCTTTCCTATTACACACCTATCATCCGAACCCCCTCCCCCCCCCTACTTTTCTTCGTATGTTACTATCTATTGGCGACACCTCTAATATTTCGGTACTTACATAATGTAACTTATTTGTCACACAAATGGGGTAAAACTTTCAAAAACTAAACCTTTATAAGTATTATTATTGTTTTTATTATCATTATTATTACTATTGTTGTTATTGTTATTGTTACTGCTGTGGATGTTATTATTTTGATTATTAAAACATGTACAAAATTAGTAGTAGTAGTACTTGAGACTATTACCGTATCTCTGTCTCCCAGGGAGTGAGTGAAGCCTACCACACCATCCTGCCCTCACTCACGTTCGCCGGCCCCACGTACATAGCCCCGATTCTGGACAAGGTCATGGAGTTGGCCAACGTCGACGTCACGCAAGAGAAACAGTCGTATTACGTTCTTCTAGTCATAACAGTGGGTTCACACTAACAGTCATATTTCGTTTTTCTAGTCATAACGGGGGGTTCACACTTACAATCGTACTACGTACTTCTAGTCATAACGGTGGGTTCACACTAACAGTCGTACTATTTACTTCTAATCCTAGCGGTGGGTTCGCACTAGCAGTCGCATTACGTACTTCTAGTCATAACGGTGGGTTCACACCGACATAGTAATGTAATCAATGAGAGAGAGAGAAGAAGAAGCGGGGGGTGGGGGTGAGGAGGGAGAGAGGGAGATAGATGCGCAAACACACATACACACACACATACACACACAAACATACACACACACAAATAAACACACACACACACAAACACACACATACACACACACGGCGCGCTCGCACACAGAGTGAGAGAGAGAGAGAGGGGGGGAAGAGATAGGGATAGATAGATAGATAGATAGATAGATAGATAGATAGATAGATAGATAGATAGAT